AGCTAGGTTTCTCACTTCTAGAGAAAGAAGTTACAAATTAGTGTGAGAGAAGGCTAGAATAACCCCTGTAATGTTGGATTCGAGTTGGGAATACTTAGGTGAACTTATGTTTATGTATATAGAGAGATAAAATCCAATATAGTTATGAATATGTAAAACAAATGGGAAACAATTTGGCCATTTCTCATAAAATTAAATATATAGACATATTTTATATGAGGTTTATTCTGCATATAATATATATTATATACATTTCTCCATGGACCAATTCCCTGATTCCTTATCCCAATTCACACAACCCCATCTCTGCCCAGTTTAAGCACTTTTATTTTTACCAAATATGTTTTGGGGCATGCAACAAACATGGGGATGGCATGAAGCCTGGAGTAAATATTCTACATACACGAATTAGTATATGTATATTTATTTCCTAGCTTTCTCCATTGAGAGAACATAGAATCATTGACATCCCAGTAACAATGAGGAGGCTAGTGCCTTGATCTTGATTTCTTTTCTTTTCTTTTTTTTGGTAGAGTGGGGGACAGGGTCTCACTCTGTTGCCCAGGCTGCAGTGCAGTGACACGATCTTGGCTCATTGCAGCCTTGACCTCCTGGGCTCAGGCAATCTTCCCACCTAGCCTCCTGAGTAGCTGGTACAGGTGCACATCACCACACCTAGCTAATTTTTGTACAGATGGGTGTATTAGCCAAGCTTCTCTAGAGGAAGAGAATTAATGAAATATATATATATATATATATATATATATACACACACACACACACATATATGTTTCATTTATGTACATATATATAGAGAGAACATATATATGAGTTAATAAACTCCCATATATATATATATATATATATATATATATATATATATATATATAAAGTATTAACTTATATGATCACAAAGTCCCACAATAGGCTGTCTGCAGGCTAAGGAGCAAGGAGAGCCAGTCCAAGTTCTAAAACTTAAGGAATCTGATGTTCAGGGCAGGAAGCATTCAGCATGGGAGACAGATGCAGGCTGGGATGCTAGGCTAGTCTCCCCTTTTCATGTTTTTCTGCCTGCTTTATATTTGCTGGCAGCCGATTAGATGGTGCACATCAGCTTAAGGGTAGATCTGTCTTCTCCAGTCCACTAACTCGAGTGTTAATCTCCTTTGGCGATACCCTCACAGAAACACCCAAGATTAGTACTTTGCAAACTTCAGTCCAATCAAGTTGACACTCAGTATTAACCATCACAGCAGGGTTTTGCCCTGTTGCCTAGGCTGGTCTCGAACTCCTGGGCTCATGTGATCTTCCTGTCTTCACCTCCCAAAGTGCTGGGTTTGTAAGCGTGAGCCATGCTACTGCGCCTGGTGGCCCTGGCCATTGATTTCTAAATAACATTTTCCAGTAAAAGGAAGACGGGTTCAATAGTAAAATGACTGATTCTAGAGCTAGAGCAGGGGAAATACAAGCTAGTTTAGTTGACACTACCATGCCAATGTTAATTTCTTAGTTTTGACAAATGGACCATGGTTATATAAGATGTTAACACTAGGGGATCATTAAGGGAACCTGGGTAAGGTATATATAAGAATGTTGTGCTATTTTTGCAGCTCTTCTGTAAATCTGAAGTTATTTCAATATAAAGAATGTATGTAAAACATGGGGAAGAAGAAAAATGTATTCTAGTTAATGGGAACTACGTGTGTGAAGCACAGAAATAAGAAAATCCCTAGTTTATGCTTGGGGAGCTAGCTGCTGGGAGGGAGGGAAAAGCAGATAGAGTTAGAGAAGTTATTTAAGCCAACATATTCCAAGCATAAATTTTGATGCTTGGAAAGGCAGGATTCAGACCATGTGGTCCTCATATGTATAGGGACCATATGAGGCATCATCTGAACTGAAGCACTTTTGAGAATGAAAGGGCATTCTCAGAAGACAGGTGGCCAGGACAAGCATAAACTAGGACTGTCCTAGCAGACTAAATGTATGGTCACCCTGTTTATATGCAGGGGGCTTGGACTTGATTTTGAGAGCAGTGTTTTCCATAATGCATATTTACAGACAAGTTCAACCATCAAATACACTCATAAAATACGGGGTAAAATAAATGTATACTTGTTTTTTTTTTCTGAACCATTTCTCAGTGCCTTTAATTTACAAATGCACTCTATGAATCTTCAAGAATGTAATATGTTTCCCGAACATTTCTTTGTAGACCAATTCCCTGATTCCTTACCTCAACCCACTCAATTCCCCACCTCTGCCCAATCTGAATTATTATTATTATTTTTAAGAGATACAGTTCAGGGAATGCTACAATCATAGGAACGGCATGAAGCCTAGAGCAAAGTTCTAGATTGGAGCTTCAAATATTCAGTGGTGGCTTTGAAGGTAACGAAGTTGAGTAGACCTGGAGACGGAAGATCCAAGAAGGAGGCTGTTGCAGTGGATCAGGATGTCGACCATGAGGGACAGAGAGAAGAGGGCACATAAGAACAACACTTAACATAAAATTAGAAACAAATACACCAGTCATCAGGAGGTAAAATTAGAAACAAATATATCAGTCTTCATGCTGTAATGGTCCATGTAAGATTTCCGTGGGATACCTGTTTCTTACTTCTATGTTTAAGAGCTACAGCAAAATCAATTCTGTGCTTAGCATATGACTAGGCACTTATGTGATCTTAAACAGAAAACAAGTAGACTGTAGAGAGACATGGAAGGTGCTTAAAAATAAGGCACAACTGAGCTAACTCTTGTTTATTAAGTATTAATTTAAGTTTCCTTTTAATCTACCACGGATTTATTTTATTTTTTATTTTTTTTTGAGACGGAGTTTCACTCTTGTTACCCAGGCTGGAGTGCAATGGCTCGATCTCAGCTCACCGCAACCTCCGCCTCCTGGGTTCAGGCAATTCTCCTGCCTCAGCCTCCTGAGTAGCTGGGATTACAGGCACGCACCACCATGCCCAGCTAATTTTTTGTCTTTTTAGTAGAGACGGGGTTTCACTGTGTTGACCAGGATGGTCTCGATCTCTTGACCTCGTGATCCACCCGCCTCGGCCTCCCAAAGTGCTGGGATTACAGGCTTGAGCCACCGCGCCCGGCCTCTACCACGGATTTATTAAACCAGTAGTGGTTTTCCCATTGCACTATAAATAAAAAACAAACTTTCGTAAGTCAGCTTGTACCTCTCATTTACCAGTAAGTTCCTGTCTTGCTCTATTTACCTTTTTGTGTCTTTTAATGCTTTCCAAGAAGATCATATAGTGGTCATGTGAAAAATATTTTTAGTTCAGTAACTATTAAATGAACCAGCAATTATCTCCTTTTATTCCTTGGAATTGCTATGCCAGACACTGGAGATACAGCAGTGGACAGTTCTCCATCCTACATGAGAGACATTACATAGGAGGTTTTTATATTAATAAGGACACAACAAGTGTGCAGATAACATTTTCCACTCAAGAACTTCTGTTTTTTTTTCAAATTCTCTCCAAGAAGGCCCAAATCTCCCAAATTACTATTTCTGAAAATCTAAATGACAAGCCTTCAGTCATAGGTAACTTCTGCACATAGAAAGGATTTATTTTGGGAGATGTGACATTATCACATCAAATTGGGCGAATTTTTAAGCCCTAAGGGTTCAAGGCATCTGGCTGAATTTAACTCGGTAGCAGCTAGGTTAGCATATGAAATACTGTATGTCAGGAACCCTTTGTAATTTATTTACCTTAATACTTCTAAATATTGCAAGGTTGTCTAGACTGTACTTTTTAAAAATTTATTCGAATACCAAGGGATGAAATCTTACTCTTAAGTTTTCAAAAGACCTGGATGGAATTCACTCATATTTTAAGACAAGAAATTGGAATGAGCCCAGGATGAGGGCTCAGACAGCTAGGTTTTGGTACCAGCAGAGTCAGTAACTATCAGGGCAACTTGAAGAGGCCACTTAATCTTAGGTTCTTCTTCTCTAGTGCATTGTCCCTTCCTTTCCCAGAGCCCAGAGTTCTATTAAAGGTAATATGAATGGATATTTGGAAAGTGCACTAAACTTCACACGGATGTAGGATCCTTTCACAAGTTCCTTCAATGACTGAAATGTCTCTTCCTAATTTCACCAGCCACTTCCTAATTCTCAAGTACGACGACGCACCACTTTCGGTTCTTTATTTACTTGACCTTTTTGTGACAGGTGACAATCATAGACCATTCCCTCTTTCCTTCTTTCATTCTCTAGTTTATCTTTTCCTGGTTTATTTCCTGTCTTGTGGATTACTCCCTTTCAGGGTTATTCTTTCTCTGTCAATCTCTCTTAAACAGATAACATTACACACTTAGTGTAGTGAGTTTCAACCAGAACTCTATCCGGGGTTTTGTTTTTTTTCCACCTAAGTGCATCTGGACTTTTGATATCACGTATCCTAGTGATTCTTTTAGAAAACAGGCAAAGGCTAAGCCAATCTATCTTCTAATTATTTGGTGAGGGCTTTCTTTCACTTGTAGCAATTGATGCTTTTCATCTAATAATTACATTATATTTGGATATTTATCACTGGAACCGTCTCTGCTTTTTTAAAATCCTGTGAAAACTACGCCCTGCTTTTCAGGAATGCTTAGAATGACTCGTATGTGCTAGGAAAACTTGTTTACTAAATGAGCACCCAGAGAAGACTCTTCACTTATTCCTTCATTGTTCTTGCTAGGATTGTGTATTCGCGTCTGCATTTTTCGATGGAGTTGTGAACGCGATCTACTGCAGAGTTAAAGGTTAGCTAACAAGATAGGCAAGTGCTAATGGGGCGGGGTGAAGCCCCGCGTGCAGGGAGGCTGTCTTCACCAGATAAAGAAGACAACTATCCTCCATTCCGTCCTCTGCTTTTTTGCACGCAGGCTAAGAGGCGTTCACCATTTCTACGTCAGGCTTCATAGAACAGCTCCCCTGCAATTTTGCTGATACCCCCATTCCTTAGCTTGAAACTGGAGGGGGCGGTGAGGGTTGCTGTCACTCAGCCCCCTGGGCCAATAGGAAAGGGGTGAGCCCCGCCTTCTTCCTTGTGCTGTGCTGTGGGCATGCGCATTGGGCGTCCCCACGCCGCCGCCCATCAGCTGATAATTTCTACAGGAGTCTCCGGGGTAGGTGGGTGACGGTGGCTAGAGGTGTAGGAGGGAGCCGCGGAGTTCCAGGTAAGAGGACCCTGGGGAGGGGAGCTCCCTGGCCTAGCGACAGGGAGGCGCGGTGCCACTGCGGCTGCTGCGCCTCCTTGTTTGTGCGCGTGGTCTGGTGGCCGCCGCCCTGCGCTCTGCAGCTGGCACTCGGGAGGCTAGGAAGGGCCGGGCTGCCCCGGTTCCCGGAGCGCCCGCGGCTCCACACGCCCCCCGGCCCGGTGCAAGGGCGCGGCGAGTTCCGCATTCCTGGCGCGCGCGACTGTGATCAGGTGGGCCCGGCCAGCCTGGCACCCGCCGCGGTCCCCTGGGCAGCGCTCCCGAGGCGCGCGGCGAGCTGAGCTCACCCCGGGGCGGGCGCCAGGGCCGGCTGGGGCCCAGTGCAGGAATCCAGACACGATCAAGTGACCTCTTCCTCTTTTCAGCTCACGGATTGAAAAACACGCTTTAAACTTCCCGATTATTAGAGGAACTGAAAAATGTATGGCTGTAACAAACGAACCGTGTATGTTTATTCAGTGGCTCATAGTATTTGGTTTTTTATTTGGCTTGATGACTTTAACATACTTTCTTTGACATTGTTAGCATACACCTTTAATTAATTTACATATAAATCTTTAAACATACATAAAATATTTCAAGTATTTCCTCCACCGTGTTTTCTAGGTTGCTTTAAATTCAGACAAAGAAAAAAGTTGCATTTCTGATCAAATGCTGTGCGTTTTTTTCCCACAAATTTCTTACATTTCCTTGGCTCTTATCTATATGTAGGTTAATTTTTGTTTACATCAGATCATTGTATTCTGACTATAATTATATATAAAACTTGTCCAGAATCTGGAATAAAAAAAAAACAAGTAATTATGAAATGCTCTGCTTTTAATAATGTTAGAAGTGGACATTTCTTCTGCAGGTGCTCAGAGCACACCTGGGGAGAGGCTGATAATGGTGTTAAATTGTGTCTTGTGATGTGGACAGACCTTGTAGGCCACTTGGAGAAGTTGGCGTCAGACTTGTGACTAGTTAAGAATTATGCTCTTAACAGTTTCTGCAGAGGTTAATATGATACCACATTAACTCATTAACATCATCATTTTTCCTCAGCTATGTTACTGATGTTGCTCTTGATAACAAAGTCATCCTCACTTTGATTTTGACCCCAAACTTTTAAGTGCTGATGGTTGAAAAGTAAATTATAAAGGCTGGGCACAGTGGCTCACGCCTGTAATCCCAGCACTTTGGGAGGCTGAGGAGGGCAGATCACTAGGTCAGGACTTCGAAACTAGCCTAACCAACATGGTGAAACCCCGTCTCTACTAAATATACAAAAATTACCCACGCATGGTGGCGTACACCTGTAATTCCTGCTACTCAGGAGGCTGAGGCAGGCAGGATAATTGCTTTAAGCTGGGAGGCAGAGGTTTCAGTGAGCTGAGATCACACCACTGTACTGCAGCCTGGGCCACAGAGGGAGACTCCGTCTCAAAAAAAAACAAAAAACAAAAAACAAAAACAAAAAACGGAAAAGCAAAAGTAAATTATAGAAAATATCCACAGTAAGTCTGAGTAAAGTTTCCTGTGATTACATTTAATTTGCAAGTTTCATGTGTGAAAGTGTGAGCAAAAAAAAAATCCTTAGGTTTGTGAACTAAAACCAAGTAGTGCAAAAGTTCAGTGGATGGAAGAGCTAAGGCCAAAGAATGCGGTTAATGTATTTTGTGCAGAGAATACTTAGACAGAGCACCCTCACATTGCTTGAGCATTTACTATGCATCAGGCACTGTAGATTACACAGGGTAACAAGGTTGTCTCTCTCCTGTTTATATTCTAGAAGTAGCTCCTGTTTGTATTCCAGAGGTGTACGGATCAATAATAAACAGTCTACTAATTAGGCTATTGAGCACTGTGAAGCGATAAGTTAAATTGACAAAGAGTGGACAGTGGTGAGTTCTCACTTCAGATCAGAGTGGCCGCAAAGGTTTCTCTAGCATGTGATAAAGCCTTGCTGGGGAGAAGGAGCCAGTCACATGGAGATTATGAGAATAGCCTTCTAGAAATAGGAAGTGGCACCCAACAAAGGCCCAAGGCAGCAAGAAGCCTGGGACCTTCAGGATCTGAAAGAAGGCGCTGGAATTTTATGTTTTAGAAATGGTAATATTTACCCTCAGGCTGGTGTGTGTTCTTAGGAAGTGGGTACATGCATTCATTCTACGTATATTTACTAAGCACTTATGATGTATCCAGGCACTGAGAATAGTACAGTTCACAAAACAGACAAAACAATACCCACCTCCTCACCCCTCAAAATTTATTTGAGGTAGAGGGTAGAGAGAGGTTCAGTTGTTTATGCTGATGCTAATGATTAGGAAAGTGAAATTGACCACTTCTTTGCCAAGATTAGATTTATAGAGCTTGAGATATGTGCGAAATGGAAATCTTAAGGATTCTACAATGTATCTGATTTTAACTAGGAGTAGTGTATGACACTTTAAGATGAAATTTTAACATTCCTTTGTTCATTCTTTTGTGTTCTTTAGAAGCAGTCTTGAGAAGACCCTCATTTGAGTGTTGTACTTCCATTCTCCCTTCCCGTTTTTCTCTTTATAGTGTTTATATATCTTCATAGAAAGACGATTATTGAGATGTGATTAGCACTAGATCTTTCTGTGATAATGGAAGTGGTCTATGAATGAGCTGTCCAAGCTGTTGGCCACTAGCCACACAGAATTTTTGAACATTTGAAAGGTGTCTAGTGTGACTGAAGAACTGGATTTTTCATTTAACATAATTTTAATTCTATAAAAATGAGAGCTACAATATGATACACAATATAAAAAGGTGTGAATTGTCACATCAAAAAATGAAATGTAGAGTAAAAGTGTAGTTTCTTAATGCAATCAGTTACATTGTTAGCAACTTAAAATAACTTGCGATAATATTTTTTTGCTTTTATTATTTTAATTGACAGATAATGATTATACATATTTGTATGATACATATGATTCTTCATAGATGTATACAATGCATAATGATCAAATCAGAGTAATTAGCATATCATTACCTCAAACATTTAACATTTTTTTGTGTTAAGAGCATTCAAAATTTATTCTTCTAGCTACTTGAAAATATACAATAAACTGTAATTAATTATAGTCATCTTTTAGGGGTATAGAACACTAGACTTCATTCCTTCTACCTAGCTGTATTTTCATATTAGTTTACCAACCTCTGGCTATCCCCTTCCCTGTCCTTCCCTGCTTCTAGTAACCACTGTAATTTTAATTTTTACAGCCTGTTTAGTTAGTGGCTACACTATTAGTGCAGGTCTAGATAATGAATTATATAATTATTATTCTAAGCAATGAAATAGTAATTCTGAATGGGCTTTCAAAAATATTCAGCAAGAGTACTTTAGTGCATAGCAGCTCTGGGCTAGGTAATGGAGACTGACGTGGAAAGCAGACATCTGAACAACTCATCATCCATTTAGCCTATATGCAGACATCTTAAGCTTTTAATCAATTTGTAGTTACCTATCTGTCTATGCGTGTATTTGTGTACATATTTTTTTAAGACAGCCATTTGGTTCCTTTACTTTTGGTATCTCATTATCAAAAGAGCCAACCATACCACTTTTTAGCAGAATAATAGAGAAAAGAAATGAGCTAGTCCTCTGTGTTGCTTTATCAACTCATGTAGTTATCCCAAACATGTTCCTTCATCCTGGGAGTGGGAATAGCAAAACCTCAATAGGGGCTTGCAGAAAAGTGGTAAATTTGGTTTTTCTAATTGAATGAGTTCACCTGCCTTCAATTTTGTTGTACAAGGAAGCAGTATGGTTTAGTGTTTGAAAAATGTGGGCTCTGTGATATTTTCAAATTTCAGCTCCTTTGCTTAAGCACATTATTTATTCTCATTATGCCTCAGTTTCTTCATGTAAAAAATATGACATTAGTAATTATACTAGTGTCATAGACTTATAAGAGTTAACTGAGAAAATAAATTTAAAAGTCTTAAGCACATGCTTAGGAAATGTAAGTCCTGGATGATTGTTGGCCATTGTTAACCTTGTTTTATTTTACATATCTTTCTTCTCCATCTTTTGCAAATTGCTTTTCATTCTTCACTCATGATTCCTGGCTAGGTACAATGGCTCAAACCTATAATCCCAGTACTTTGGGAGACTGAGATGAGAGGATTGCATGAGCCCAGGAGTTCAAACCAGGAGGCAGAGGTTGCAGTGAGCTGAGATTGCGCCACTGCCCTCCAGCCTGGGTGACAGAGGGAGACTCTGTCTAAAAAAACAAACAAAAAAAAAAATCAAAAAATTTGTGGGATATGGTGGCAGGCGCCTGTAATCCCAGCTACTCGGGATGCTGAGGTGGGAGGATTGCTTAAGCCCAGAAGTCAGGGCTGCAGTGGGTCGTGATCACACCACAAACAACAACAACAGTAATGCCAAACAAAGAAAAACTAAAACAAAACTCATGATTCCAGTCAATCTAAGTAGCAGCTCTTTGGGTGAATGAAGCCAGTTGCCAGTTGTCTCCCCAGCAGGAACTTTCTCACATTTAGTAGCTTGGGAGAGGGATGAAGAAAATTGATTGTGTTTGTGACTGAGTGGTTGATTTTCTAGAGAGGAAAAAAAAAGGTGACCTTGAAAGAAAACAGTGAGAAGACTTGGGCTACACTGGTTTGAGGATAAGGAAGATGCGATTGAATACTGTGTTTGACTTGATAGAACTCTTCATGGGAGAGAGATCAGGCCTCAGGTGTGGTTGTGTGGTTTTGAGACAGGTGAGTTTGTCATGGTCTTGTGCTGATGTTGGTCTTGCAGCTGCAAGAACCGATCATAACTTTCTTCTGTGGAGGGCAGAAAAGCATCTGGTATCTGGATGTGCACTGTCTCATTTTGATCCTAGCAGCAGGCCCAAATGCCTAATGTCTTGCCCAAAGTAGAGATTTCCAGTTGCTAGTTCCACTGTGTGCTACACAGGCAGTGGCTGGATTCTTGTAGCTTTCACAGACATGTAGACACTAGAGAGAGCCAAGGGTATGAGCTGGAGACATGGATGTGAGACTTATTCAGGTATAGGCTAAAATGGAACCATGTGTATGGAGGAGCCTCCCTGGAGAGTACATGAATAACAAACAACATTTTTTCATTCAATGTGTTTGTTTTGGCTGTAAGCCAGTTTTTCCAGAAATCTACTTGATAGAGGGAAAGGAGAAAGGAAGATGTCATTGAACCAAGAGAAAATTTTCTTTGTCCATGTCTTTGAATATTATTTGGCAATAACAAGGAATGAAGTACTGATATATGATACAACACAAATGGACCTTGGAAACATACTAAGACGAAGAAGCTAGTCTTGAAGAACACATTGTATGATTCCATTCCTATGAAATGTCCTGAATAGGCAAACCTATAAAGATGTAAGGTAGATTAGTAGTTGCCATTTGCCAGTGAGGTTGGGAGAAATGAAGAATAATTGCTAATGATTACAAGCTTTCGTTTTAGAGTAATGGAAATGTTCTAAAAGTGATGATTGTACAGTGTTCTGAATATATTAAAAACCATTAGGTTGTGTACTTCAAGTAGGTATATTGTGTGGCATGTAAATTGTATCTCAATAAAGCCATTTTATTTGTATAAATTTAAGGGGTGCAATGTAGTATTGTTACATGGATATATTGCATAGTTGTGAAGCCTGGGCTTTTAGTGCAACCATCACCTGAATAATGTACATTGTACCCATTAAGTAATTTCTCATCCCTCACCCTCCTATCCTTTTGTTTCCCTAGTGTCTTATTATTCCACACTTTGTCTGTACGTACACATCGTAGCTTCCACTTACAAGTGAGAACTTGCAGCATTTGACTTTGTTTCTGAGTCATTTCACTTAATGGCCTCCAGTTCCAACTGTGCTGCTGCAAAAGACATGACTTCAGTCTTTTTAAAGGCTGAATAGTATTCCATTACATTTATATACACTACATTTTCTTTATCCATTCAGAAATGTTAATAGACACTTGATGGGCACTTAGGTTGACCCCAAATCTTTGCTATTGTGAATAGTGCTACAAGAGATACAGGATGGCAGATACCCTTTTGGTATAATGGTTTCTTTTCTTTTGGGTAGATACCTAGTAGTGAAGTTACTGGATCAAATATTAGTTCCATTTTTATTGCTTTGATGGCTCACCCTACTGTTTTCTGTAGAGGTTATACTACTCCACACTCTCACCAACAGTGTGTGTGTTCCATTTTCTCTGCATCCTTGCCAACATCTGTACTTGTTTGACTTTTTTTCTTTTTTTTCCTGCTCAAAAATCTGTTTCTGGATGACTGTTTAACAGCCATTCTGACTGTTGTGAGATATCTCATTGTGGTTTTAATTTGCATTTCTCTGATGCTTATTGATGTCAGGCATTTTTTGATATGCTTCCTGGCCATTTGTACGTCTTCTTTTGAAAAATGTCTGGTCAATACGCTTTGTCCACTTTTTAATGGGGTTATTTGTGAGGTCTTTTTGTTGTTGTTGTTGTTGAGTTGTTTGAGTTTCTTGTAAATTCTGGTCATTAGTCTTGTTTGCAGATATTTTTTTTCCCATTCTGCAGGTTGTCTGTTCATTCTGTTTATTATTCTTTTGCTGTGTGGAAGTTTTTAGTTTAATTAAGTCTCTTTTGTCTATTTTTGGTGGTGTTGCTTGTGCTTTTGAAGTCTTAGTCATAAATTCTTTGCCTAGACCAATGTCCAGAAGAGTTTTCCCTAGATTTTCTTCTAGTATTTTAATCTTTTCACGTATTATGTTTAAGTCTTTAATCTACCCTGATTGATTTTTTTTTTAATGGTGAGAAATAAGGGTCCAGTTTTACTCTTCCACGTGTGGCAATACAATTTTCCCAGCACCATGTATTGAAAAGGGTGTCCTTTCCTCAGTGTATGTTTTTGTCAACTTTGTCAAAAAGATCAATTGGCTGTAGATATGTGACTTTACTTCTGAGTTCTCTATTCTGTTCCATTGTTCTATGTGTCTGTTTTTATAAGAATATCTTGCTGTCTTAGTTACCATACCGTTGTAGTATAATTTGAGGTCAGGTAATGTGATGCCTCCAGGTTTATTCTTTTTGCTTAAAATTGCTTTGGCTATTTGAAAACATGTATTTATTTATTTATTTATTTTAAGTGACTTGGAAATGCATTTAAAATTGCATGGTTTCAAGGATGTTCTGGATGGTGTTGGTGTCATTGAATCCTGAGGTCTGCTCTTGTGTCCGGACCCAAGTCCAAAGCTACCTGGAAGGAAGGTTAATTCTATCTGCCCACTGTAGTGGTCCAGCTGTCTGCCTTTAGTTTGAATTTACCCTTTTATGCAATTGGTTTTGGATCTGCCTCTAGGATTTGGTGAGACTCAAAGAGCCCAGAATAGATCAACTGTACCTGAAAAGGAAATTGGAGACTATCTAAAAGCAGCCAGGACTTTCAGGGTGGCCTGGCACATTCAGAGTGCGCCAGAGTTCCAGACGTGGAACCAGTTCAGCTGTTGTACTTCCTGCCAATACTGTCCCTTAGAGCAAAGACACATATTTCACTGTGGCTTCTTCTCCTTTACCAGAAATCATCTGTGGCATTAGCTGTATGTGGTAGCAAAGCATGGATAGCCTTGGCATCAGAACCCTGGGACTTAATCCCACCTCCACCTGTGGGTGGGTTGTGTTACCATTACTTAATCATAATAAGCCCACTGTTTGCTCATCATTAAAACGAGAATAATGTCACTTACTTTAAGGAGGAAGTTGTGAAAATTAAATTAGTCTGTGTGAAATACTTTCCACGTCGCAGATGTGCGAGAAATGTTAGGCTGTTCCTCTCCTTTCCTTTCTGTGTTGTTTTCCCCTTGTCCTAGCTGTGAATCATCTGATCCAGGGTTGGCCAGGAACCTTCCCTTCCTTTAGTAAACATCATACTGCATGTGCCCTTTCCACATGCTCTGGGTCTCTCCATCCCAACCTTCGTGTCCTTGTGTTTGTGGTTCTGCATACTGGTCATAACCAAGTATCCAGATCTTAGGTTTCTGTTCCATAAATTCTTTCTATATAAGGGCGATGGTCATTTTTTCTTTTTGTAGCTCTTCTCATTTTAGACTAGCACATAATCTTTTACGGATTTGTGGGCGATTTTTATCGGTTTGCATTATTAACTTCATCCTCTCTCCTAAATGACAAACTTGATTTGAGCAGATACTGTGTCAGTGTGTTTTGTTTGTTGTGTTTGCATTGCCCAGGTGCTTAGTTTAATGCTGGGCATGTAGCAGGCTCTTAGTAGAGAGTGTTTTACAAATTGACCACCAACGACTTTGTGGTATTCCAGTGCATAGTCATGGAAAAGATGCGGTGGGAGTAGTTGAAATTCTTTGCTGTGCGTAGTCCTGTACTTAGGGACATCCCTTTTCAACTTTCTTTCCAAACCCTGATTGGAGTGGTGTGGATTGAAGAGGTAGACAATGTCGTCTGACCTTCCTCCTGTAGGGGTATCTCAGTGTCTCTTGGATTCTGTCATCCATTCTATTTCCTCTGCCAGGAAGGTTTGAGAAACATTTGCTTGTCAGTGGTTGGCTCCACTCTTTCAGATTTAACCTTTTCCATTAAAATTAGAGCCCTATCAATCATACGTTCCTGAGCAGGTCCTGTGTGTGTGTTAAATTAGATATCAAGGTTGGTGCAAAAGTAATCACAGTTTTTACAATTACTTGTAATGGCAAAAACTGCCATTACTTTTGCACCAACCTAATACAATGAAATTTCTGGGGATATGCTGAAAAGTCTGTGTTCCATTTAATAAATATTTAAATGCCTCTTTTTGCTAAGTTGTTTTAAATGTTGGGGAAAGATAAATAGCTTGTGAGCTCTGCCTTATAATTGTTTGCAGTTTAGTTAAGGAAAAAATATGTAAGGAACTAAAATTATGTACAGGAAAGGGATTTAATAATTTTTCTTTAAGAGATCAAACATGTTTTCAAACGGAATATGCAATTTTAATTGTTTGACATGTTATTATTTAGGTGTCTGCTTCAAAAACTGCACAGCCTGCCAACATCTGATGAAATTAGCGAATAAGCACCTCAGCCATGTCTTACACTCCAGGAGTTGGTGGTGACCCCGCCCAGCTGGCCCAGAGGATCTCTTCCAACATCCAGAAGATCACACAATGTTGTGAGTTAAGGTTTTAAATTGACTTCCCTGTTTGTTTCCACTCTTAACTGAGCTTGGGGGAGGTTCATAAAAGGACAACTCTGCTGATCGAGTGAGGGAGGAGCATTCCTCTAACAACAAGTATTAAAGGGCTCCAACTCTTTAGAATGAATGCAAGAGAATTATATTTGAGATAGCATTTACTGCGTTTTTCTAGAGGAATTCAGGGCCAGGCACATAATACATTATTTCATTAAATACAAAAAAGGTTTAAAAGGATAATGGATTGTTATATTTGCTTTGAAGCTCTCTGGTTCTAGATGAGATGATACCTGTTGACTTAGTCTCATAGGTTTGGAACCAGGTAGCACTACCAAGGGCTGACGGGGCATAAAGTTTATTAAAAATAAAATCTGACTGGATATGGGTTAGGTTTATCTTGTGAAGGGCAAGTATGTGGTACCTTATTAAGGAGTAAGAGGAACTAAGAAGGGGACATTTTAATCTATTGAGGAAGATAGCACAGACAATCAGACATGCATTCCCCACAAATTATTGTTTGTTACACTTGTCAGAGATAGAATACCAGTAGACTGATGCACTGTGACATTTCATTCAGAACTATTCCTCTTCAGGATATGTATGAAGTAAATCATTCTAACAGATTTGAGCCTGTAAGGTTTTTTTTTTTCTTTGTTTTTTGTTTCTAAATTATAGCTAATCACGTATCTTGGGTGATTCTAGTCATTTTGCTCTCAGTACCTGAACTCTTTCTTCCTTCAGAGTATGTTAATACAGGTTTATTCTTCAGCCGACTTCCTTACAAGGCTATTCTTTTGACTTGCAGAAGTAGTGTTTTCAAATGATCTTACTGTGTTTCTTTTTCTAATCGTTACACTCCCCTACAGCTGTTACTCTACCTGAGTGATTTAAATGAAATGCTAGTGTGTTTTAGGAGCAAAGAGAGAAAACTAGATTACAAGTGGCTCTAAAAAGATGCTGCTGTGAACAATGGTATAAAATAACACTTATTCTGATTTGGGGTGATTTCTGGAACTTGCCTGTTCCTAGAAGAACAGGGAAGTGCACAGTGTCAGACACCGTGTTGTCCACAGCAGGGAACCTAGGAATGGTACATTGAGAGCTGCTGCAGTTTGTCCCAGGGCAATAGCATTGGCTCTGCTTTGCTCCTCTGGCTTCAGATCTGTTCTGATGGTGGCCACAGAAGAGCCTCTGTTTTTTTAATGGCTCCCTTGCTGCTGGTTAGAAATAGTAGTACTGGTCTGCCCCAGGTGTATCTGGCTCCCTGTGCAGAAATTAGGGAGCTTATAATTCTAATTACAAGTATGGAAAATTAGGACCTTTATACAAGAAAGGAGGCCAAGAGGCCTTCCTCCAAAGAAGAGAATAAGTAAGCATCCTGTGTTGGGAAAGCTAAACAGTGTCAGGAATTGAGGATGAGGAATGACTGTCCTATACTGAGATTGTGGAAGTAGCGAGCAGTAGGTAGTATGAAAGATACGTGGATTGAAGATTGTGTGTGAACATGAACTGGCAGGAGAAAGGGGTTGACTTAAATCAGGCCATTTTCCCTAAGAAAGAGATCAGGTGACAATGGATGAAAAGTGACAAATTGAGCCAGAGTTGAATATTTATGGTGTGTTTGCTAGCTAAGTGTGAATACATGCAGAGCAGTCTTGGAGTGTGTGAAGGGATGGCGATGATACTCCACGCTCCATGTGAAGAGTTGTTGAGAAGACTGGGGCTGTTCATGTAGGCAAAGATACAGTCACCATCTCCAGATATTTGAGTCACTGTCATGTGTGAAACAGAAGCCGTATGTTCTGCATGAACATAGGGGCCTCCACAAATATACCGAAGTTACAGGTAGTCAGATTTCAACTTGCAAAGGAGGAAGGGCTTTTGAATAATCCAAGTTGTTAAGGGAGAATTGCTTCCCTTAGGAGGAATGAGATTGCTTATCAGTGACCAGAAAAAGATGGTCAGATATTTCTCAGATTTATTAATAAGAATTTTAAACATAGGAATCATAGCTCAGACTAAGCAGGTTTTAATTTTGATATTCTATTGTGATTCATTCAATGAGTAATTGGGGGAACATACTACTTGCTAGATACTGTTCCAAACTGTAGGAACGTAGCAGTAAACAATCTATGAGGTCCTGCTCTCATAGTAGTTTACAGTGTAGTAAGGAGAAATAATGAGTAACTTAATTTTCTTTAAAGAAAATACAGTGAAAGTGAGGTGAGAGCAAGTGACTGGGGAAGCTGCCTTTGCTTTAGATGGTCTGAATAAGGACAAGGAGGGACTGGCAGTGAGAAGATTCAGAGAAAGGGCATTTCAGACAGAAGGTATAACTAGTCTTAAAAATTCAAAAGCAGCCCTGGGCTTGAAAATATTCAGAAAATAGGGAATAGGGAAAAAGCCAGCCTGGCTGAGGCACAACACCTGGGGCAAGAGCGCCAGGAGATAAAACCAGAGGGGTCTGGCGGGTCAGCTGTGGCCTCGTAGGACATTCACGGAGTTTCGATTTCATTTTCAGAGGCAGTGGAAATCACTGGAAGTGTATAACCAGGGGAGAGACATAATCAGATCTGCGTTTTGAAAAAATCGCTTTGGCTGCTGCATAGAAAACAGACACTGGGGGAATAGCAGGGAGATATGCTGGTTATCACAGAGGTCTGGGAGGAGAGATGTTGGCTTGGACCAGGGCGATAGCAGTGGGGATGGAGAGAAGCAGTGATGTATTTGGGAGGTAGAGCCAGCGGGACTCACTGATGTGTGTGTGTAGGGATGATAGAGGAAGGAAGGAGTTAAAGATGACTCCATAGTTTTAGCATTGAGCATCTGACTAGGTGGTGGCAAGGGTGTACTGAGATGGGAGGGATTACAGTTCAGGACAAGTAGGGGAAAGTTTTGTTTTGACCAAGTGCATTTTGAGATGTCATTTAGATATCTAAGTGGAGATATCAAACATCTCAAGAATTTGGAAGTCAGAGCGTCCTCAGAGTATAACTGTTATTTAAAACCATAGGTGTGAAGTAATCACATAAAAGTAAAGAGGCCTGGAACATTAAAAAATGTTGAAATCAGGAAAATAGCATGAAGAATCTAAGGAGTGACCTGTGTGGTAAGATAAAAATCAAGATGTGGTAGATTTCTAGAAGTTAAAGAATGTTTCAAGAATGAGTGAGGCATTATCTCTGTCCAGTGCTACTCAGAGACTAAGATAAAAGCAGATACTTGGAGTTGGTAAACTGGTGACTTTGAAAAGAGTGTTCTCATAGCCATATTCCAAGTGTAGATGGAGGAAGGGAAGGAGAAGCACCCACTCTTTCCATTTTAAAGAGACTTTCCAGAGTCTTACTCACCTCTGCTTATGTAATTGTTCATGTGGCTACACCTAGCTGCCAGAGAGGCTGAAAACATCTTAGCAGGATTTCAGTGTGCTCACTAAAATTGGGGATTATTCTATCTGAGAAAGAATGGGGGAGAGAATCAATATTTAGTAGGCAACTAGCAGGCTCTGCCATGAAAGTAGAAAGAGAATCAAAGAAAGGGTTGCATTTTCCACTGCAAGAGGGAAATTCTGGTAAGAGTATAATTGCAAAGGAAATGTTTTGAAAGTGCGAGGATATGGGAATGAACCACTAGTGAGTGGTTCACATTTCACCCGCTGTATAGAGGTGAGGCTAACTGCGGTACAGATGGAAACATGGTGGGCAAACATAGATTTCCTGTTTGAGTGGGTCTGTGCTTAAATGAAATGTGAGGCAAGGTCATCAGATAGAGAATGGGAGGGGAAGAAGAGAGTTTAGCAAATGCGTTGAGTATATATTTAAGATTTAGGGTCATGAATTTAGTGAAACCAGTCATCACTGTATTTTTTTCTAATTCTGAGGTTAAATGTCTAAATGAAGGGGAGTTTACATAAAGTATTGTTAAAAATCTAACCTACTGTCAAGTATGTGTACTGATAAGGGCATGCAGACATCACATGGAAGTGAAAGACGGAAGTGTGAAATTTCAGTTCATTTTTTTCCCCCATTTGGTAATGCTGGTAACACTCGGTGCGATTGACTAAAATGATACTTTGCATCACATTTAGGTTCCTTTCATACTATATTTGCATCTTTTGAAATTGTGTCAGTACACATTATCTGTTTTTACAAAAGAAACCTAAAAAGAAGATGCTGTAAGTAAGGTAATATGTAATTAGAACATGGGCATCTGTTAAACTAAATTCTTCTTGAATGTTGCGGTGCAAAAATTTATTTTCACATTAGTTTTGATGAGATAAATGAACACTCTAAAATATCAAGTTGTGTGGTTTAGTTTATGCCAAAAAAAGAAAATGACAGTCAAAATATTTTTAAAACATTTCTTGTTAAAGATAATCTGTAGTCTTTAGAATTTGTTTCACTAGTAGAGCATTTAAACCATATTATAATGATATAATTTATATTAAGCATAAAATATTTAAATATTGTAAATGCTTACATGTACATGCTTACATTCTAAAATACATTAGAAATATAATTACATTAAAACAATATAACTTTTAAAGAGTTGAGTAGTTATAACAAACTATGACTTTATTGCAGGTTTTATAACAGTTTAAACTGATTAAGAAAATATTTTTATCCTGTGAGAGAAAGCGTTGACTCTGTATCAGAGTCAGCAAGGACCTTGTGCCACCCACACTTCATCTTCTGCCCATGGCATAGACCATATTCTCTGTTGATAGCCTAGCATGCCCTCCAGTCTTTTTCAACCGGAGGCTCCAGGTAACCGTTCCCAGTAGGTTGGAGTTGGCAGGCAACAAAACGTTTTGTTATCACAGGTCTAGAAGATCATCATGCCTCTAAGAAATGCTTAGATTTCGTTTTCAAACTTTGGATTGAGATGTTCAAAAGTTTTTATTAGCAACATCTCTGTTCATTTACCTTCTATCATTTCCCCGTGTTCTCGGTCAGACATACTCCTAGCTGTGATGTGGA